TCGTCTCATTGGAATAATCTTTGGTTAGATCGATCATTAAGCTTCTATATCTCACACGATTTAATAACGCTTTCTCAATCGATAGCACGTAACAATCTTAAGAACAATCTTTAGGAAGATCGATTCGAGCGTGAAGGGTTAATTCCTGGGCTAAACATCGGGAGGAGCTATTCTCGCAGGTGATTGGCGCGAGCATTGCATTGAAATTCAAATTAAAATTATGAAATTATCCGGGAAAAAACGAAGGGAACGCCAATGTCGAGGGCAATTTTCGGGCAATTTCGTGGAGGGCCAACTGCCCTTACCCCCCCGCCTCTTCCATTTTTGTGCCCAGAATCCTGTAGAAAATAATGGACCACGCCGTCGGCGACCATATGGTCGCGTGGTAGAACGGCTGAACCAAGACGAATAGGGGCCGAATGGCGAAAATTCACGGCCACTTTGACTCACACCGACGCTTCTGCTTCTTCTCTTTCGAATGATAGATCGCCGGTGATCTGATCCTTTCCATCTTCCTGCTTATAGAAACTCGTCAAAATCTTCAGAATGTTCCTTTTATTTCCATTTTTTCTGCTATTGGTCCAAGCGAGTGAAAATTTGGAACGAGCAAGTAAGCGTTTGAAAATAAATTTGAATCGATAGTTTCATTAGTCGATATTATATCAAAGAGGTTTGAACGAATTAAATAGACTATAGAGATCAAACTAGTTGCAATATAATAAATTAATTCCTGGCTGGAATCTGACAAACCGATCGAGTATGTTTGCGTTTTAGTTCGATCACTCGCACGCCGACAATTGTGGAATTTTATATCGCTGGGTGAGACTTCAGATTTGATCGATTAACTGGGAACAGGGCAACAGTGTGTTTCGAAACTATTATAGAGAATGATGAATAGGTTTCCTGCGTGTCCTATCAAAATATTCTTCATTCATGGGAAATAATGCTAATGAAATACCAATCGTTGGGAGATAATTCTACATTTACAATTATTTACACTCGTAATAGTATAAATATTTGTTTAATAAATATTTATATCTAACCATACCAAATAAATAAATATCCCCTCGTTACCATTGATTATGATGACAATTACACGAAGAATAATCGAGTACCAATTTACAGAAATTTTATTAATCGTATCTTATCGTGTCTTATTATTTATGAAAGTAGTGGCAAATCAATTTATCATCTGTTACAATTTTTCGATATCCAAAGCAGGTCCAGGTATCCCTTAAGGAGCTTAATTTTCGTTTGAAAGAACGAAAGACGGTCGGATCGGGGCAGGGATTCGTTCCTCCGCAACATTTATGGCCGCGCCTTCGAGGCGTATTTTTTCCTCGAGATAAGTCTGGTCCCGCGTGCCATATGTCGACCATCCACCCCCCTCCCCGAAAAGCGTTTTCCGATTCTTCGCGCGCGCCGCAGATGGCCACGCGTCCTCCCCCTCCTCAAGATCTGGAAATCCTCGCCGCCGAATTTCCTGCGGAGGCCGATCTCCTCCTCAGAGAGACAGGAAAATTTACGTCGCCTCTGAGTGGGCCACGAAGAGCCAACCACTCGATCGAAGTGGCGGCGCGCGACAATTCTCTCCAAGTATGGCGTTCGTTAAACGGCGTAAAATTTTCAAAGATATCTGGAATGGTGTGTTACATTACGTTTTTATTGCTGCGCGTTTATGGATTTAAGTCGGGCGCTAAGTCGGCCAAGGGATGTCGGTGAAAGGAAAACAAACGGCTTCTTTCTTTTCAAGATGATTCTCAACTCACGAATAAAGGTTTTACACCCTCGGCAAACAATACCGGTATTGTTACACGATAACTCAAGTTAAACCTGTCTGATTTGACGAGATTTCTTTCAAAATGGAAGGAAAGGATGGAAAGAAGGCTCGTGTATAAGGAACGAATTAGAGCCGCGAGCCAACTTTGTTATTTTTTTTGAGAATCTCGTATTGGTTGGTTTATGGTCCGGAGAAACATCGTTCGAATATTTTTTTCTACGATTCAATTCTTTGACTTCGTGTTCGAGTTATAGATATATGATAATACGGAGGAACGATGTTATCACACACAAAGCTTTGAGCTTGAAAGGAATTTTCAGATTGCATTGTGAATGTTGGAAAAATGAAACGATAGATTTTACATTAAATTAAATTCTTTTTCTTTGTATGATATAATATCGTTTAATCGAAGATGTAGCATTCGCAAAAAAAAAAAAAATTAATACGTTCTTCTTAATTAATTCGTTAAGTTTCGTTCTCGCGTGGCCAGAAGAAATCCCGTTGAAATTCTCGGGAATCCATAAATTGCACGGCCCCAGAAAAATGTCGAACTAACGAGTACGCGTTTATTATAAATCATAAAGATAATTACGTTAAGAGACGCTATGCCGGTTCATTAGGTCGCAAAATATCTTGTCGCGTCGATTCTTTCTTTTTCTTTTCCTTCTTTTCTTTCCTTTTTCTTCTTTTTTTCATTAACCCATTCCACGGGCTGAAAAAGATCTCCCAAGGCTATCTATTCGAGACAGAGGGGAAGCCGGCATAGAAAACAATTTGGACGGTGGATCCAAGTCGGCCGCCTTAATTAGTTCCACCGAAGATTACCAATCAACAATTTCGGAATCACGGCACTCTCCGTGTCCCAATCTACCCTTGATGTCCCCTACTTAAGAGTAATTCGATCGTTTTTCTTCCGATGCAAAACGTATAATTTGCCTTATTATTATTGTTCTTTAAGCCCCGTCAGAAATATTTCTTTTATCATTACCATCGGTGTTTCATCTAATCGATATCGCCACGACTCAAATCAAATATTCCCAATAATCAAATATAACGGGTAAATTCATTCTTCGCATACAATGTTAATTATTATACTTCGCTACTGCGATCGTTCGAAATTCCGTTTCAAATTTATGACGCACGATTACCAGGATACCTTCGGATTTTATATTAAACTCGCTTTATATTTCATATATACATCACACTTGCGCAAACTCGTTTTAAAATAAACGAATCGACGATTCGAAAATGAAAGAAGAGAGCAAGTCGAAGCAAGATTTCCCTCGGCCTCCCTTCGAGCCGATCCCGCAACCGCGAGGGGATCAAAAGAAACTGTTAAATCTATTACGCTGTTCGGATCTCGATCGTGATTACGGTTCGGGAAGGAAAAAGGTTGCGCGATGAAAGGAAAAGGAAAAAAGTTGGGTGGCGGATAAATGGGTGAAGGGGGGGGGGAAGGAGGGCCGAGAAAGGGATGGAGAGTGTTTTGTGGGGTCGGTGGGCCCAGGTTGCAGGTAGGCAGCGGACCCTCAAATCGGTCAAAAAATGAGGGGGCACGCAATATACTTTGGGAGCGGCGTGTAACGTCCCCGCACGAACCCGTTTACGGTGCGCTTCTCCTTGCTCTATGGTTTAGCCGACCGATGGCTGGCAAGAAAGGGATTCGTGGTTGGAAATCGCGATTACGTTTCCAATCTGATCGATTTTAATGATTCCGCCCCGTCATTACGCCTGGTCTCGCTTGTGATCGTCCGAGTGATTGCCGGTTACAGGACGTTTCGAGTATGTTTCATCGTTCGATCGGAAGAAAATCAATGAAGCGAAAAGAAATAGCGATAATAATTAATGCCGATGCGATCAGCACACTGTGGATATTTATGCATTTACGAAAAATGTAAAAATATAAAAAAAGTCTACGGAATAATATGCAAAAGAGGTACATGATATTCGTATAATACGTATATAAATTTTATTTCGCGCAAACATTCTTAAAGTGGTCGTGATATTACAAAATATTTGATTATCTACAGTACGAAACGGTAACCTTTCTTTCTCGACGAATCTCAAAAGAAAGATTTTGCTTCCCACCAAACAAGGGATCTTAATTAAATATCGAGTACACGTTCGAGAGTTATCGAAAAGCAAGAAAATGGCATCATTTAAATGTGTTTCCACGAAAATTCCATCCACCTTTCTCATCTTATCTGGACGGAAACGGTTGTTTCGAAGTTGCCAACGAATGCCAAGTGGTTGAAAGTTACACAGATTCAAAGCGAAGCGCGTGGCTCGTTGCATCGTGAAACTCGCCACGTCCTGTAATAATAGTTGCAAGGTCGGGCAAAAGCGACCGCGGGCCAGAAACTATGAGCACGGGGAGGAATAATAAAGTGGAAGGTAAGTCTTCGTGGAAGTCTTCTTCTTATCTCGAGAACGTTCATCTTCTGTCGCTGGAGAACAGAAGAGAAGGAGGAAAGAAGTCTAGAAGAAACAAAGACGGTTAATATATATATATATATCCGGACACGTTATCGGAATATTAATATCCCTGTGGGTCTATGCTGTATGTACCGAAAAGAAGTCGCGCCACCCTGGTGACGATCGATCGTCCCGAAACATGGAAAGAGAAAAATCGGCGTGCCGCCTCGAATGTAATGGAACACTTCCTGATGCGCGCCGGTGATAATTCTTCCCGACATTCTTCCTCCTCCGCGCCAACGAGACGACTTCGAGAAACTGTTCGAGGGGTTTCTTCGAATTTCAAACTTTGCTTCTGTCCACCTACTTGGATCTCCATTCGTCTCGAGTCTGAAACAAGGATTGGACATCGTTCCGGAATCGTTTTTTTGAAAAATGTGTTAATCATGTTGTTACTATTTCGCTCGGATAGAAAATGAATTTTTTTCGAATTCTGAAAATGACTGGTACTTTGAATATTTGAGATTTTTAAAAAAAGAAATCTCATAGAGATGTTTTTATTTACAAAAGAGAGAGAAAGAGAGAGAGAGAGAGAGAGAGAGAGCAAAGTTTGATCATCAGAATTTAAATTCACTTCCTTTGGAGCAAAGTTCGGAGAATTTGTCGTCGATGAAAGAATAAAATCATGTATTTCGTAAAAAATTTTGTAAAAAGTTTTCACATGTTTTACATTGCTTCTTATTTAAATACAGTTTATAAATTTTAAAGCGATATATACCTTTTTGAGATGATGTGTCGGTAGTGGTAATACTTATTCCGAACAAAAAATTCCGTCCATGCACGGACCCCGCGCCTTAATGTTGATTTTTTGACTTAGCACAATTCTCCCTCTCGGCTACCGTAGTCCTCTGCTCCTTTAAAAGAAATTTCATCCAGCTGCACGTATGTAAACACCTTTTACGTATCCCAATCTACGAATAACAATATATTATTTATAAACAGGATCATCACGAGAAACGTATTGAACTATATAAATCCATTAAAAACATCTGAATACCATAGATCCAAACGTTGAGGCAAAGAATTCGATCCTCCTCTGCGACAAACAGAAGTTTGTCCCCAGGAGTGCAACGGTTAGCCGTCTATCATTAGTCCAATACAAGAAACCCGTACACTCTGTATCTCTGAAACACAGACTGACAAAAAAAAATCCAAACTCCAACCCGTTATTTCAAGATGATTACGCACACGACGATAATTATACATCACGAATAATTCTTCCAGTATTCTTCGTTTCGATGAAACGACACACCTCTCCCTAAACGATTTCTTTCCTTCGAGAAAGAGAGAGAGAGAGAGAGTTATCGCGTTAGAACGTCGAAGTGGTTCTTCTCTTCCTCCTTCTTTCTCTCTTTCTCTTTCTCTCTCTGTCTCGAAAACGGTCGAGTGCCCTTCAGCCACGTTTCGTAAATGTGTGTAGGCTGCAAGTCATTTCGTCGAGTATCCACTGTGATCTGTCAGCCGTTCATGCGATGCGATAATGCGTAGTGACGGCTGGTGAATTCACTACGAGGTATGGCTGTTCTCATAGTTGGACCGACAGCTCCCGGTTTCTTCTTCCGTGCTGGAGATTTCGATGCTTGTGCAGAGGCTGCGGTAGGCAAGGCATCGTCGAGAAAGTTCCGCCGATGGAGAAGTCGCAGAGATGGATTCGACACGGCGCTTCAATTTTAGAATTTCTCTTCTTCCCCCTTCTTTTTCAGTAATTCGATATTTACGATATTTTTCATTTTTTTTTCTTTTTCTTTTCATTCGAAAATACGATAGAACTCTCGAGAGTTGTGTTGTTTTAAAATGTATAAAAAGTAAGATGTTGCGCAAGATGGATCACTGGTTTTGAAGAGAGTTTCGTAATTTTCTATGAAAGTTATTGTGCGGAGTTTCGACGAATGCGGTCGTTAATTACGCGGTTTTCGCAATTCGAACACGGTGCAAGGAATAAATAGAACTTGTAAATATTTGTGCTTTTATTAGTTCCTTATCACAACTCATAGAAAAATACGATAGTGATTTATATTGTATACTTATATTATAACGATAATTGACGCTTTGATAAAAATTTTATATCGTATTATCTATTATTGTCAATAGTTTGAAATGATTGAAATATTTGTTCTATGCAATCTTTTTCTATGCATATATAAAAATTGAGATTTCTCTTCTCCGAATGATTTCAAAGACTATGATATAAGATCAAAATAATTTAAAATTATCGTAAATTCTATGAAACTTTTTCTATAATGTTAATCGTCTGGCAATTATTGGCAGATATCCTATCCGATCAATATTCTTTTTTACAAAGTATTGCAATATTCGCGCAAAGAATATCATTATTATTACTTAATCATCATCTAAATTCAATCACATATGCTTTCGTTCGCTCTAAAGTATCGTCTCGAAACATATGATACGATACAAATAGACAATAAATTCACGATACTAGACATTACGATTCAACGAAATCGTACAAATAACAATCGTGAATATAAA